TTTTCAATCTCAAATGAAAGTCTCAATGATCACATCGTTGAATAAGAAAACTTGATAAATTTGTAGCAATAACTTCATAGCAGTTAATGTTAAAATCAAACTATCAAGCAATTTACTATTTTTCCTCTCACTCCAAACCTGACACTTTTCAAGTTCTTGAGATTAAATCTCTATCTATACAATAATTCATTGCAGTATGGAAGGTTAGACAATCCATTTTTGCATATTTACCTTCACAAGGTAACTCTATCCAGTTTTATGGATTTGATATCTATTCTCAATCAACTCATAACTATTTGATTCACTATTAACTCAACTTTCTGTAAACTTTTAGCGAAAATCATATTTACCGCTTACTCAAATCAACAATGATTTAAACAATTTAATGCTTATCTTAAATATTTCTCACTTATTTAAGCTTACCTCGAGAACCTTAGAATCATCACTAGATTTAGAAATCTCCCCTAGATCCTTATCCCATTCAACTTTTCTTGTAAGTTGTTCAAAAGTTTTAATCGATTCTTCCAATTCATAATATCCATTGAAAACTGGGAATTTCTTCCACAAAATGGAGGAAAATCCCTTACAACATCCACCCTTTTAAGGTGTTTTATATAAGTCATGTCGGGTCCCTTTGGGTTGATTTCAATCTCGACCTTCTTTTCAACATTATCAACTTTCTTACCTTTGTCATTAGTTTTTGACATATGAACATAGTCAGAATCATCATACTTTAGTAAAGAGTAACTTTACTCCCTATAAGCATCATCACAATATATATACAACTATCAGTAACTTTTGACATCTTAGTGGCATGTACACACTTTTAACTCAAACAAACTCGGTTTAGTCCTAGAATTGGCTAAACTTGTAGCTCTGATGCCAATAAATGTAGCACCCATAACCATATAATTAAACCTATACAGATTATAGATGTCACCTGAATTTCTAAAACTATTTCCACTTCAAAAGTGATTTAAAATTAATTTTCTTTAAAATGGTAAATGGTATTATAAAAATATCATATCATATGAATTATAATTCTTTATAAAAAAATTTAAGACAAAATACATATTAATTAACAGTACCGTGAACAATAATGAACAATTCTGTGAATAGTGAACAGTGTACCGATGTACTGCTACAGTACGTAAACAGTGTACCGATGCATAAAAACTTCGAATCAAAAATGTGTATCGATTCACTGCTACATTAACTGCTACAGTAATTTCAGCAAAATATATAAAACTCATAAATTTACCATTTTGTTTCCATATTTGTTCAACAAAACAAATTGAACATTATTAATTACATGACACTATCTAAGTCAACATTACATCTTAGGATGTCTTACTGATATTGAAATATACTCCTTGATGCTTGATGTTGCTTTAAACTCTTTATTCCACTACTGGCATTTTACCTACGCGTGAGCATCATCACACGCTAAGTATATACTTAGTGAGGCAAATTAAAATAATAAATAGTGCAATACAATTCATGCATGAATTTCATTGTCAAAAACAAATGCCATTAAATCATGTTACATACATGTCCAATATTTTACCATGATCAAAATAATATAAAAATTTCTTATCAATTTACTTACCATTTATCTCATAAGCTGGTAAGCTTATTTTACCAATTTACTTACCATTTATCCCATAAGCTCGTAAGCGTATTTTACAATATACTTACCATTTATCCCATAAGCTCGTAAGCTTATTTTACCAATATACTTTCCGTTATTCCATAAGCTCGTAAGCTTATTTGCATGCATACCATTTATTAAACAATAAACCATAAACCATAGCCTATAGCCCAATATAAAACCGTGAGGACCCTGGGTATTCGAGTAATATTTGCACCGTAGTGCTACACATAAGGTCATGCCCACCATATACACCGAAGTTTATTACACATAAGGTCGTGCCCACAAAGTACACTTAGTGTCCTTACACACTATAGTGTAATATAAACCTGCAGCTGCTATACTCTATGGCATGCCAACTATACCCTATCCCTCAATGACTTACTTGGGCATATAGTCTATTTTATTTAATCCATCCATGGCAAAGTGTATTATCGAAATTTAACATTGGGCAATTCATACCCGAAAATATTCATGGTAAAATATCACATTATCCATGATCAATGCATTATAATTTCATACTCTAACATATCAATGCCATGTCAATTTATAAAAAATGATACAATATCACGCTGATATAAACAAGGTGACTTATCACAAGTCTTCCAGATTATGTATAAAACATCCATGTATAATGTCATGCATGTATTGCACTCACCTTGACACTTTATATCTTTCAAAAAATATGTGCCTCACTATTGTCCATAATAAACCCCTTTTTATACTTGACTTGCTTCAATCACAAATCAATCACAATCTGTATAAATTACAAACTCATAATGATACATATGATAGTATTGTACTAACATAAACACATCCCTTAACAATTCCATAATATAGTTGAAACTCATTATCTATCACATATTTAACACTTAATAATTCATTTTAACATTGGAACCAACTTTTTCAATATACACAAAATTGTCCTTCACTATTTAATCACTTAGCTTCTTAATACCAAAAATTCCAGCATTGAAATTATTATCATTCAAATGTTTTTACAAAAGCATAATTACATTTAAGTACCCCAACTATGCAATTATTGTACTTAAATCACCAATCTTTTCAAACTTCCAAAATAGTCATATTTCGCATCTAAACACTCATTTCAATTCCAAAATAACAATTTCCAGTATAGTACATCAACTATTAAATAATTAAACAAACATTCCCAACTTTTCCAAAATTACAAATTAGACCTCAACTTTTCAAAAAATACAAAAAGGTCCCTAAATTTTCCAAGGCTTGTAGAATATTTCCTACATCATTTTCAGACCTTATATAATTTTTGCATAATTTTCTTATCCTTTAAGACCAAAGCATAATGGTTTAAAGATCAAAAACTAGGTTTTCCATGATTTTGCCCAATTTTGATTCGATTCAAGTATGAAATCAACTTTCGATCAACATTATTACATCTCTATTATCAAATCCCTTATACGAAAACAAACCCTTAGATTTGGGATCTTTGAAATTGAGAAAGATTAGAAAGAAATATTGGTACAAAATGATAGCGTTTTTCGCTTAGATCACTTTCCTATTTCACGGCATAACTCCAATTCTAAAGGAATTAGCTCAAAAATTGAAAATAAAATATTTTTCTTACCTCCTAGCTATCTCACGTCTTTGCTGCTGGAGAAGAACACTTTGGCATAATATTTTTGATTGATATCATGCTTATCATCCTTTAAAATATTATTTAAATCATTCACTTGGGAAAATACCAATATACCCTTAATATCACTTCATAATTACCATAAAACCAAGATACTTATCCTTATCATCATTCAAATCATATCATCTAAACCTTATCTTCATCCATAAGTCAAATATAAACAACTTATATCTTAGTTTACCAATTTGCCCTTGTAATTTTCTAAAAATTGTAATTCAGTCACTTTAATCAAACAATTCAAATTAAACATGGAATTAAACCATAAATATTATTTTCCTACATTTTAAAAATGTGAAAATAATATTTTTATTTACTTATTTTCGTGTCCCATATGTAACTTTTTAAAAATTACATTTTGGTCCCTAAACGTTTCAAAGTTTATACCTTGGTCACCAAACTTTACCAAATTTATAATTTAGTCACTAAATAAATCCATTTATGGAATAACATTATTTTTGATAAAATCACCACTTAATTCCTTAAACTTTTCCTAATTTTCTACTTTGACCATCAAACTTTCAAAATTTGCATTTTGGTCATTATCTAAATTTTGGGGTATTACAGTAGCTTGGTGGATTATTTGGACATCATATGTAGCTCACAATCAGCTCACAAAGTACAAGGCAACTCGTGGAACACTAAGGAAAGCTCAACTCAGTTGGAGGAGCTCAAGGTTAGCTAATCTCAGCTAGTTGGACTATTTGAAGTTGAGTTGCCAAAAGTGATATCAATGGTAGCTTAATGTAGCTGAACATGGTGTTATAAAGCTTACAAGGTCTCGGCTATAAAGCTTATTCGCAACTAACCCCTTGTTTCCTAACTAGCTACACAATCAAGCATGCTTGGAGGAAGACACATGGATGCCCAGGAAGATGCACATGACAAGCCTTTATCCTATGTACAAGGCTGCACCATAAGGCTCCCTAAAACACCCATGTGCGTGCCATATGACCAGCCTCCATGTTCCTTGCATGTGGTCTCATTTAGGCACCAAGATGAAGAGCCTTCTAACCATTCGGCCAAGCATCATTTTCTCTCCCATTTGGCCCAACTTGAAGGGACACAAGAGCTATTCGGCCAAGGGTTATTACCCTTTATTTAAATCGAAACATCATTTCATTTGTAAGTAAAATATGACTTTATAGGGAAACACAAGGGCTGGCCGAACCACCATGTCTCTATTCGGCCATGCCCCTCAATTTCCTATAAATAGGCCATCAAAACTCATTTGTAAGGAGACCTTTTGATTAATTAAAAGTGAGATTATTCTCTTTCCTTAAGTCCTGGTGACTTTTATGGACTTATCAAGTATTTTTAATACTTGTGGTGTCAACCCCTTCCCTTGATACTTATGGTTCCTATCTCCATATAGATAGTGGGTCCAAGTCCTTAATATCACCCCTTAAATAAGCAATATAAAGTCTGGGTCATTGCTCTCTATAGCATTAGTTCTTCTTCGAATCTTCTTTAAGATACTATCCTTACAACCATTTCATTGTTTCATCAACCAAAACCATAGCCAAATCAACATCCTTCTGCTACCATCTCTCAAATCATAAATAGCCTACCTATTCACCTTTACATTTACCACCCTTAGCCATCTGTTTTGAGCCATTCACTTATGCAGGTTGTTTTGCTTTCTTCCTAGATCCACAATCAATTGAAGAGGTAGAATTACTTTACATCACCTTGACTCTCACTTTCACCAATTTCCTCTTCGCTTTGCGTCCTTCTCCTCTGTACTATGACAATACCCGCCGTTGGAGAAGATCCTTGTCCCCAAGGATCAAAGTTTGGTAACTGTCCTCTAAGAACGATATAATCTTCCCAGGTATCATTCGTCTCATAAAGGTTTGTCCATCGCACCAGTAATTGAGTGACATGTTTGTTTTGTCGATTCACTACTCTTCTGTCCAATATCTTATATGGCTCGATTCGAAACTGACCCTTTTCATCTAATTCAGGAGGACCCGTTGATGAAATAGATGAGTCCCTAATGTGTTTCTTCAAGATACTTACATGAAAAATCGGATACAAATGTGATGTATCAGGTAAGTCCAAACGGTATACATCCTCTCCGACTGTGAACATCATCCCTGACTGTGAACACCCTCTAGGATCTTTTCTTATCTGCATGTTGTTTCATGCGATTGCTTGTATTTTCTAACTATAATTGCACTAGCTGTCGAATGTCTTATCTGGTATGCATTAGATCACTAATAAACTGCAATTGTGTTTCTGTTTGCCAAACAATGTAGGGGGTTTGTAACCATATAATGATTGAAATGGTGTAAGTTTTAGGGCATTGTAGTAGGTGGTATTATACCACCACTTTGCATGAGACAACCATTTAGCCCACTGCTTTGGTTGAAAAAAACATAAGTCTATTAGATATTGTTCAAGACATTGGTTAACCCATTCTGTTTGGCCATCAGTCTCTGGATGGTAAGCAGTACTAAATAGAGTCTTAGTACCCAGCTGCTTCATTAGTTCTCTCTAAAAGAGGCTAGTGAAGGTCTCGTCTCTGTCTGAAATGGCCATTTAAGGATGGCTGGCCATTAAGCTTATAAATATTATCCAAATGCAATTTAGCTACCTAAGCAGCATAATAAGGGTGTGACAGTACCAAAAATAACTGTACTTAGTAAACTTGTCAACCACCACCAAGATACAATCTTCTTTAATGAAGTAGGTAAACCTTCTATAAACTCCATAGTAATTACCTCTTAAGCCTGTTGAGGAATAGGCAGTGGTTGTAGTAGTCCATGTTTAGCAACATGCTCCACTTTAGTTTGTTGAGATACTACACAAGCTCTTACATAAGTGGCCACCATAGCTTTAAGTCTGGGCTAATAAAAATAAGCTCTATTCCTTTAATGGAAGCTTGAGTTCCTAAATGACCTCCATGAGATGAATCATGTAAGGTTTGAATAATCTGTAATCTAAGAGACCCAACAGTACAAATATAGACCCTATCATTAAATCTAAGGATCCCCTTTGAATTTTTTCACTTAGGATTAGAAGTGGGACTGACAGTAAAAATGAAAATCCATTCAGTAGCCATTAGATCCTCCTTATAACTTTCCTCCACTTCCTGAACCCAACTAGGAATGATTAAAGTAGTTCCCATAGCAATACATTGACCTTAATCTTCCCATTGTCTAGATAAGGCATCTGCTACTACATTTGATTTGCCTTTTCTGTATTGAATTGTGTAATCCATTCCCAATAGTTTAGTCAATCCTTTCTTTTGAATTGCAGTAGTTAATTTATGCTCTATTAGGTACTTTAGAGGTTCATGATCTGTTTTGATGACAAAAGGATTGCTCTCTAAGTAATGTCTCCACTTAGAGACCACTACTAGAATATCAAGATATTCCCTTTCATAAATGGAGAGGGCAGCATGTCTAGGACTAAGAGACTTACTAAGATATGCTATAGGTATGCCATTTCAAATAAAATAGCACCTATGCCTCTTGAACTAGCATATGTTTCCAAGTAAATATTCTTACCAAAATCTGGTAGAGCTAAAACATGGGCAACACACATAGCTCTTTTTAGATTTTCAAAAGTAGTCAAGGTTGCACTGTCCCACTTAAAACTGTATTTTTTAAGCATATGGGTCAAGGGTTTGCTGATAGTTCCATAACCTTTGATAAACCTTCTGTAGTAGCCTATTTAACCCAAAAATCCTCTCAAATATTTTAAGGATTTAGGTAGAGGCCAATTCCTCATTGCTTCCACCTTACTACGATCAATAGCTACACCAGTAACTGAAATAATATGTCCCAAATACTCCACTTGAGTCTGTCCAATGAAACATTTGGACAACTTTGCAAATAACTTATTATTTTACAAAATATCCAAAACCAATTATAAATGAAGAATATGGTCTTTCATAGAACTGCTGTAGACTAGTATGTCATAAAAAAACACCAAGACGAACTTTCTAAGGAATGTACTAAATAAGTCATTCATTAATGCCTGAAATGTAGCAGGAGCATTAGTAAGACCAAATGGCATTACCTTAAATTCATAATGGCCATGTTGAGTTTAGAATGTTGTTTTGTAAATGTCTTCATTTTTAATTATGATATGCCAATAACCTGATCTTAGATCAGTATTTGAAAAATAGACAGCACCACGTAATTCATCCAATAAATCTTCCACAACAGGAATAGGAAATTTATCCTTGATTGTTATACTATTTAACTGTTTGTAATCAACACAGAACCTCCAAGTACCATCCTTCTTTTTAATGAGAAGCATGGAGAAACAAATAGACTTTTGCTAGGTTGTATAATAGAGGAGGATAACATAGTAGCAATTTATCTTTCCACTTCAGCTTTCTGGTTGTGGGGAAATCTGTAGGGTCTTAAATTAATAGGCATAGAGTCAGACTTAAGAGGAATAGCATGATCATGGTTTCTTGTAGATGGAAGACCTATAGGTTTAGCAAAAATAGAGTTGTATCTCTCTAATAGAGGTTGAATAGCTGCATGAATGGGTTTTGAACTTTTTGTCATAGTTAGTAGTACTACATGCCCCAATACAGCAGAGTCTAAAGCTGTCATTTTTAATAGTGTAGCCCCTGAAATTTATTACAATAAATTTGATGGTTATTGGGCATGTATAACAATTTGTTCATCCTGGTGTACAAAACTTAGTGTCATTTTATTATATTCCATAAAGATGAGATTGGATAACTTGATACAATCAACACCTAACACCATATCACTACCCCCTAATTCTAGAAGTCTAAAATCATGAATAAAAGAATGTCCCTACATCTGCCATTCTACTTGATTACATCTTGTTGAGCTGTAGAGTTGTTGTCTATTAGCCACTGTAATAGCTAAAGGGTAAGGTGTAGTCACTTGAGTGCCTGCATCAGCCAATTGTGGTGTTAAAAAACTATGGCTACTATCACTGTCAATTAAGATGTTTAGTGGTCTGCCTTGAATAGTGCCCTGAATTCTCAATGTATTACGACCAATACATCTAGTGATAGCATTCATAGATATTTCTAAGCTCTCCTCTTCTTGCAACACTTGCTGATCTGCATCATTTGGTAAGGTTTCTGAAGGTTAGCAGTTTCATCTTTAATCATCATGTTCAATTGTTTTGTCTTACATTGATCGTCTAGAGAAAATTTCTCACCATATTTAAAACATAAGTTATTATATCTTCTGTATTCTAGAAGATTCAGTTTTGGAGGTATAAGGACTGAACTCTTCTGTTATGATGATGGAAAATTTGGTTTAGAAGTAGGTAATGGGTTTGGGTAGGGTGGGTTTCTAAAAGATGTTCACACTCGTTTGTTCTTAAATTCAACAGAAAGCTCATATAGTTTAGCTTGCCTGCAAGCTTCACAAAGTGTCTTAGGTTATAGAGCTTTAACTCTATGTTTAATCCATTGATAAAAAGAGAGAAAATGAACTCTTCACCAAGAGTAGGGTTTTATAAGAGTATGTGAGGCTTGTAGTTCCTCAAATCTATCCTGGTACTCCTCCACTAACCCTTTTGTACTAATTTTGTAAACTCCTCAACCATGTCAGCAAAGGATGTATCACTAAACCTATGGAAAAGGTTTTCCTCAAACTCATGCCATGTAATATGATGCTTCTACATGATGTAATCATCAAACCAAATTTTTGCCTTTCCCATTAAATACATCGTGGCCACCTCCACTCTTCATTCCTCCGTAATACTACATAGAGAAAAGTACTTAAAGCATTTTTGTATCTACCCTCGTGGATTAATTCCTTTAAAAAGGTAGCTCAATCTTGGGTCTATGCTACATCAACCCTAAAATATTAAAAGACCCCCGTACCTCTTTTATCCTTCTCTAGGCCAACTATATTATTTCTAACAGCACTGCTTTCACCTATTTGGTTATCATTTTTAAAACTAGGCAAATCTTCCAGTTTGGATCTTAAAATCCAAGGTTCATCAGGTTTATAAGTAAACCTGGTCTTATCATTAATCACTATAACCTTTACAGGTTGTTTTCCATATGGTTTAAAAGTGTTAGGGGTTTGTACCTGGTCAGCAGACTGGTTCTGATACCCGTTTCTTCCAGTTAAAATCTTCAAAAGTTCCTCCACGTACCTCTGATTTGTGGCCATCCTAGATTCTAGAGAAGTAAAACGATTCTCTTGGTTCTCCCACCATTTAGGAATTTTAGTATCATCTTGGGATTGTTTGACCAAGGTTGCTAATTCTTCATGTTGTTTTTGTAATGCAGCAAAATCAGGTGTTTCAGACATGGTTTGGGTTTTCTTTGGCATTCCAACGATGATTGCCAGGAAAATTTGGCTTTGGATACCAAATTGTGATGGTTGTAAGATAATGAAAATATCGAGAAGAGATTTCAGGAAGAAGAAGCAGTAGAGATATAAGAAATCAAGAATTCATTAAGAAAATATGCATAATCTCCCTTTACAGGTACCAGTTATTTTTATACAACTGTACTAGAGAATCTAGCTATCCAACTGTCTGTCCTTTACTAACTAATTTAGTTACTTCAGCATGACTTGGGATTCACATTTGGGCTACTCAGCTGATGGATTAATGAACCTTGTGCCTCTCACATGCCATTTCCAGGTATCAATTCCCAATTCTGCTTTCAATCCCTAACCTTTGACTCTCACTTTCCCCAATTTCTTCTTTGTTTTCTCGTCCTTCTCCCCCGACTATGAAAAAAATCAAGAAAAAAAGGAAAATAAAGGACATAGTAAGAAAAAGATAAGAAAAATAATAATCTCCTGTGGCAGGCAACCTATATTATGATTGGTGTCGTAGTCAGCTAAACAAACATCAAAAGAAAAGATGAAGACATCACAAAGTAGTTAGAGGTATTCTCAAATAAAGATCACAAATTTCTTTAAAATATTAATATTGATCATTTACTTTAATTATTTAATAATATAGTCAATTTTGCAGTTTTTAATTTATTTAGGGTAAATTACATATTTAATATTCCAACTATCACTTTTGTTTTGTTTTGATCAATTAATTTTTTTAAATCATACCTAACATTTATATTTAGTTTCATATTGGTCACTGCACTTAAACTATAGTGAAGAGAAAAACAATGAAAAAATGAATGAATTCTAGTGAGAGAATTTTTTTTG